TTTCGGTTTAGAAGACTACCAATAACACAACACCCAATTGTTTATTTCAGCGTTTTTTAATATTAACTAATTTTTATAACTATTTCCCCGAAAACCCCCAAAAAATGCAACCCATAAAAAATTGTTAGTAATAATAATGTTAAAATAAACAATTGTGTATTATTATTGGAAGTCTGCTGAAGAGAAACAGAGTTTTCTGTTCGAAAAATATAGATTTTCAAGAATTTCATACTATTTGTACAAAAAAGTATTTTCCCCATTTAAAATACATGCAAAACTTCATGAGTTTTGAGGCAGTTTTAAATACATATATTTTTTAAATTAAAGAATGTCCTTGGTATTCCTCTTTTTTTATTCCTAGAAATATTAGGAGGTGTGATCTTAACATTTTAAACATTTTTTTGGACAACCCTAACGTACCTACTTCGCTTCACAGTATGAAGTGCTTGCTTTTCTGTAGTGCTGACAAGAACTTACTACTCTGCTAATATAATTAGTTTCCATTGCCGTTTCTATGTATTAACCGTCCTGTAAGCTTTCAATGAGCAGCAGGCAAACAACTCGATTGCAACAGCAACGAAAGGAAAATATTAGCGAAAGGGTCATATCAACCAACTTCATGTGGAAAGATTTCCCACTAAAGGATTTTTTAATAAAAATCCTAGCACTCAAAATGTGCTCTTTCTTTGAGCCTTGCAATCAATAGCAGGGGCAAGAAAACCAATGGTTACTAGTTCGATTTTATGCGCCCACAATTGAATGGTTCGATAGCTAAATACATTTGCGACTACATAATCAAGTCGTACAAGGGAGCTGTGAGTGTGCAGCAAGTTGCAAATAACTCTGCCATAAGTTTGCAACGCTTCAAGTTGAGCAAAGTGCTTGAAAACTGATGCAATGCAATTTTGCTGGCTTAAAAAATTCATTTTCCTCCATTTGTTTATTTTGTTTTTCTTTTGCTACATTGCTACGCTCAACTATTCGACGTCGGTCCGCTGTCAGATGACAATCGCATGCCATAATTGTATGCATTTCAATTCATTTGTCATCATTTGCTCAGTGTCGACTTTAGTGTCAACCTGCTAGATGGGCGCCCATAATT